TTTAATTAATTTGTAAAATACATCATAATTAGTATTAATAGTTTCGATAATTTCCTTATTTCCCTTTTTTTTCCTCTTACTACTTTCTACTTTCTACGTTTGTCACTATTTCATTTTTTTATACTTTTTTTTTCTCAAAATTTTCTACAATTTTTCTCCCATCTTTTTCTAATCACATATCGGCTTGATCTTGGAAAATCTAAAATTAATAGACCATAAAATATTAATAATAATTAATAAAATAAAAATAATTAAATATGAGTAGAGACCGTACTGGTGACATGAAGGTAAGTTTTCATTTTTCTTTTAAAAGAAAAACAATAGTCAGTCTTCTTATAAAAAGAAGGAGTTAGCTATAACATTACATATATATAATATGTAATTAATCATTAATTAATTATTCTTTTTAATTGGAAAAATAAAGGGAGAACCATTTGGTAGTGGTGGTGGTGGTGGGTTTGGAGGCGGTCGACAACAACCACAATATGTTGAAATGGCTCAAATTGACCAAAATGATGTAGGCGCATTTTTTGATGAGGTAATGAAGATTAATTATTTAATTATTTAATAATTTATCTAAAGATGTCATATATTTAGTTATTCATTATATAATCATTTCGCTTGCTCATAATTGTGCTCAAACTCCACACACACTATATATATATATTAGGTATCATCAATTTCAGATATGATACGTAAAGCTCAAGCGAATATATCTCAGATAGATGAATTACACTCGCGCACTTTGGGTATAATATCTGATGATGAAAGGATAAAACGTCAACTTGAAAGTATAACATCAGAAACAAGAGGAATTCTTACACAAATAAAAGATAGGATCAAAAAATTGGAAGTTTCAAATTTGAAACAAGCCAAATCTGGAGACATAGAAGTTAGGAAAGCTCAGGTGAATTGATTATTTGTTACTATAATATTTATTTGTTTGTTTGATTCTTAATTTGTTTATTTATCTCTCTATCTACACTTACGTATATATAGACTTCAAATTTACGTCAAAAATTCATGGAAACTTTACAAAATTATCTTCGAGAAAAAACACATCAATCCACTGTCCCAAATATTTTTATAGGAAACAAGCATATCGGAGGTAATGAATAAAATAAAAATTAATGCTATAAGTGTGAAAC